GTTCACGTTCCGATGAAACCCAGTCTTGAAGCAACATTTTGCATTTCGAGGGGGAAAACCGCATCCCGAACATGCTTGCATTGTTGCTTAGGGTGGTCAGAACACTCTGCATTTTGTCAGCTTCTTCACCAAGTAGGACTATGTCATCGGCTTATTCCAAGTCAATTAGCGAGTCACCTGGTAGAAGGTCTACTCCTGAAAATTCAGACGAGGATAAGGTTATTTCTAAGAGCATCTCTTTGATGAAATTAAACAAGAATGGAGAGAGTGTACATCCCTGACAGACACCACTTGAAGTAGAGAATTCCGGTGACAGTTCGCCATAGGCTGTAACTCGACCAGTGGTGTTCGAGTAGAGAGCGCGTATGAGGTTAATGTACTTCTCTGGTACACCTTTCAATGATAGACACTGACACAGAACCTCACGATACACTGAGTCAAATGCAGCTTTTGGGTCCAGGAACACGACTATTGTCGGACGTCTAAATGTATGTCTGTGTTCCAGGACCTGTCGTAGTGTGAAAATGTGGTCTATACAACCACGTCCCGGTCGAAAACCAGACTGGTTTTCTCTTGTCTGTTCTTCACGTGCTCTAGTTAGACGTCTAAGTATAATGGAGGCTAACAATTTAGAAACTATATTAGTTAGACTGATTCCCCTGTGATTGTCACAAGAAGACTTTTGTCCTTTCTTATAAATTGGGAAAATCAGTGATTGAGTCCAGTCGGATGGGATTACGTCCAGTTCTCAGATTCTACCTAAGATCTCGGTCAACCTAGTTGCTAAAACTGGACCACCATCCTTAAATATCTCAGGGGTCAGTCTATCAGGACCTGCAGCTCGTCCTCGCTTCAGATTTCCTAACGCTTTTTCAACTTCATTAAGACTAGTGGGACTTACGTCGATTTGCCATTCAGGATGACTGGAGATCGTGGGAAACCGAAGTGTGGCTGAAGGCCAGTTGAACTGATCCCTGATGTGTTCTGCCCAACGATCCGATCTCCTATATTGAGAATGTATAATAGTCCCATCCTTTTCCGAGATAGTTTCACTCACATTCGGGTTCCTAATACCAGTTACTTTGATGAGTCTGAATTGTTGCCTATCGCCGTCGTCTTTTCCGTTTCCCTTGCTTTCACTATCCACCACTGTTCTCGATCATCGCGAAAGCTTTCTTATCAGCCTGCGCCTAAGCTGTCTCCGCTCCTCATCGAACTTAGAGCCAGGTGGGATGAGTTTTCGAGCACCAATCAGTTCGGTGGATGCGACTGAAATCCACGGCTTCATCCTAGCCTTATGGTTTACCTTGCTAGCAGATATCACTGCAGTATCCACAGCCTTTTTGACATCACAACAACCTGCTTCTGGATCGGAATCGCTTACATGGTTGCTTAACTCTCTTTCTAGCTCCTCCTGAAATATTTTCTTAACTTGATTATCATTAAGTAAAGCCCGAAAAAACTTCATTATGGAGTCTTCCCTACGTCCAGTAAGCTTAAAACAAATACGCGCTCTCACTAGTGCATGATCTGAATCTAAACATGTGCCCCAGAACGAGCGACAGTCTTCTATCGAACCCCTCCATTGGTTGCTGATGGCAATGTGATCTAGTTGGGTCCAACGTTGGGGCGACTTCGGAGGTCGCCAGGTCAAAAGATGCCTTTCCTCATGCCTTAAGTTAGTGTTTGCTAGAAATAGTTGGTTATCTGGGCACAGTCGCAACAGACGGTCTCCATTGTTCGTTCTTTCAGTCGCGAGACCATAACATCCAACTAGGTGTCTTTCATTTTCACTCAGTCTACCAACTTGAGCATTGAAGTCACAAGCCATTACTACTATATCAGAGCGCCTAGCTTTTTGGAGGAGGTCCGAAAGCTTCCTGTAAAACTCATCTTTCACATCGTCTGAACTGCAGTCAGTGGGGGCATAGGCAGATACGATGAAGAGGCAACGGCGATTGCCCCTATCTTTCCGAGTCCTTACTGTTCCGTTTAGTCGGACAGCGCACAAGCGACTATCTACTGGGATCCAGTCAAGGAGAGATTGTTCTGCCCTACGATTCAATGCTATGCCTACAACAGCGAGGACCCGGGAAGCAGCATCAGGGCTACCGGATACACGAAGGGTAAAACGAGCTGCTTCTTTATTTTGACAAGGTGAAATCAGATGAATAATTTTACTAGGATCCTGTATGCGCGTTTCCGAGACGCAGCATACATCGATGGCACGAGATTCTAAAGTCCTAGCTAATGATGCCTGTTGCCCTATTTGACACAATGTCCGTACATTAAATGATCCAATATATAGTCTAGAGCGGGGTTTAAGGAGGCCAGGAATGACGTTTCGTGAACTTGCTTCGTTTGCATTAGCGGTGCAGCCAGATAAGGGAATGTGAGTAGAGTTAGTTGTGGAGATAAGAGAGGTATGTGTGGGTGTAGGAAGGATTTGATTTTGACCAATTCGGTCTCTCGTACTATTGCGGGTATGAGGGTGGTTATCACTTCCCGACTGCCCAAGGGACAACTGCTTGAGCCCGGTCACGCACGGCCTTTTTATGAAAGGTTTTTTGAGTATTAGCTACGTTCTTAAAGGCCCTTAGTTGGCACCCTTACCGAAGGAGAGGGAAATCTGTGAGGTAGGGTGAGGTGTGACATTTTTAGGGTCGACCTTTTCTAACCCTCCCTACCTTGTGAGAAGGCAGCATCTCTGCAGATGCTGGTTGTCCGAGGAAACACCTTACTGCTGTCACACCCCTCTGCAGTCAGCAGTACGACTTCGCCCTCAGACCTTGGGTAGCTGCTTTTAGTCTCATCGCTCTCCAATCGACCTGCCTGGCATGGTAGAACCTTCAGGAACATAAGTTGCAGCGAATATAGCTCGGTTGGGTCATCACGATAGTCAAGCCCGACCACCACGTCAAGGTAGCAGCCACGGTCGGGTGAATTGAGAAGCACTATCAGATTTAAGTGATGATTCGAAATGACAGGAATATCTGACAATTCTTTGGTTGTTCTTAAAACAATATTCATCATGACATTATAGACAAACATACTCCTGGAAAATTTAATAACTTGGAAAGCTCTGAAAGAAAGATGGGGCTAGCGTCGTTGTCTATTGGTGTGAGTCTTGAGCTTCACAAGGTAAGGTTGTGTACTTACAATGGTCTATCTCTGAAGTAATAAGAGTTCATCAAAACCCAGGTGTAAGTTGTTTCAGAGGTTGAAAATTATCATCAGCCGCGGTCAGGTTTGCATTCGGTGTAACCGACCATGAGTTGTCGAACACTTGGATTTGCTTAACTTAAGTAAATAGTGTACACGTAGACACATCATAATACGAGCCAAAAATGTATTTACGCAACAATCTGGATGAATACTTACACGATCATTTGATGTAGTACCGCCTGTTTTGATTGACGTGTAGGAAACAGCGAATCGCAATCAAGTGGGATCTCCTAGTGATGTGTTGTGTGTACTAATATGTCGAGATCAAATGGCTTGTCCCAGCCTTTGGACAACTTAACTAATCCATTTTTCTCTAGTCATTATTCACACGTCTTTTGACCTTTTCGAACATATGTTCACAACTTGAGTATTTTTATTTAGGTGTATGTGCATGCTTATTTCGCCTATTTTTGCCTGACTATAAACATTTAGTCACGCTTTATCGCATTGAGTTGGCTCAATCACCTTTTTCACTTTGCTTCGTTTTGCTTTTCATTCTCATTTCTTTCTGCATGAACGATTACCTGAAGTAAACTCATCCGTAAAACTGTATTTGGCTTATTACCGACGTTGCACATATAGGATCTGCCTTAAATATGATATACGGAAATTGAAGGAAAGAATTACTTTATAGCATACTCAACTATTCGTAAAAATTGGAGTCTGATCACGGGCCACTAGAAATGTGTCTAGTATAAGGTCTTTTTCCCCTGAAAATAAGTTACTAACGTTCTCTCCTTATTTTTAGTTCGACAAATATTCCTGAAAGATAATTGGAACTAAACTAATTTACAAATATAACAATACAATCATTTCGGAAATGTTTTAGAAGACATCTTGAACAATGAATTGATTTACTATGTAATAGGATTAACCGCATTAAAGTACAAAACAACCATATTCTCACTAAAATTTTCAATTGTGAGCATCTAGTATTTTTACTTTGATGCGATGTTTTATATTCAAATGCCAGTTACGACATAGAAATATCAACTGATCACTAGTAGAACAAGCAAAATATTGTAATTCAAAATGCTAACGGAAATCAGGAAGTGCACTACAGCTATACAAATATGATCAGTTCTTACGTATTAGTATGAACTATCAAGTTATCAACACTGTTCGCACATCAAAACGGAACATGACCGTCAATATAACAACAAACAAATAAAAGATTGGCAAGTTACACATTTTTGAAACCATGAATCGATCAATGTTAGACCACCATTAGAAACCTGGAAGCACTGGACGGCCGTTTCGTCCTGGTATGGGACTCCTCAGCAGTGCGCATCCACGACTCCTGCATCCCGCAGGATTCGAACCCAGGACCTTCGGTATTGTGCGCGAACGCCCTAACCGTTAGACCACTGAGCCGGTATTTAACAGTGTTAATGTCTAACTTGATAAAATTCACGGAGTTGCGAACCTCGTACACAGTCTTCGGTAGACACTGCCTACACCCGAACAGGTTGAACTTCACTGGTCACGTCTTCCCATTAGAACTCGGAGAAGATTCCTCACGAAGCTAGTCACTAGTGAGCACAGGTAATTTTCATTAAAGGGGTTGTGGAGATTGGCAAGTTACACATTTTTGAAACCATGAATCGATCAATGTTAGACCACTGCTGAGGAGTCCCATACCAGGACGAAACGGCCGTCCAGTGCTTCCAGGTTTCCAATGGTGGTTTAACATTGATCGATTCATGGTTTCAAAAATGTGTAACTTGCCAATCTTCACAACCCCTTTAATGAAAAAAAACAAATAAAACCCTAACTTGAACAAAAATAAGTTTTATAGGCCAATCAAACTATTAACTAATCTGTTTTGGAAACTTATTTCTGAAATGACAAAAAAAAACTATGCAATAATACACATAGAATATAAACATTGACAGATTTGTCAACAGTAAAACCAGTGATCACGACCAACCTATTTTATCGAAAAGAAATTCAAATACAATTGAGTATTGAACTATTTAAGCGGAAAACAATACAAAATAAATAAATAAATATGAAAGTAAATAGCCCAATCAACAGATAAAAAATAAATTCACATTAATGAAGAAATGATTTAACAAGACAACAATATGTAAGTAAACAACAAAGAACCTTTGAAAGACTGTCAATCAAAAAGGGAGAATATATATGTGATAGAGATCAGAATGATGAATTGCTTTTGTTTATAGTACACAAATTTATAGTTTCTGTTGACTGATGAAGTTCATGACTGTATTTGTTCATATGAAAAGAACACAAGTTGGAATGTATACTCAGTTTGTTTTTGATATTGCCATGTAAAACTGTTGAGAAAATAATTACACTCATTCTCTTTTTTGTGATGATGAACTTAAAAAGGCATCTTACCAATCTGTACACAATAATACAGTTTGTTTGTTTATTCTTTTTTTTTCTATACATTAATTGAGCAATGAAATATAAAGGAAAGAAGTAAGTTTTCTTATCCGTTTTTTTTTTAAAAAAAATTAAACCATTCTTATTTGACATAAGGAAGAGTCATGATGATTATCTGAATGATTAAAAGAATTTTTATCATTATTCATTAAATTACTAGCAGTTCCATACGGAACATGACCATTACTTGTAGATGTAGAATGAACAAATTGAAAATGTGGTTTCTCAGTAAATGACTTCATCATACAGAGATCCTTATCTTCGTTTTTGTAACAGGCTGTATTATTACAATTATCTTTATCATTAGTAGTTCCATTGATTAATTGTAAAGTTTGATTATTCTGGTTAATATCGTCTTCTGCTTGTTCTTCCTCTTCGTCACAATTACTTAACTCATCGAATTCACAGTCATATATTAAACTTGGTCGAACCCAATGAGGTGGTAGAAATGTTTCAATAAATGGTAATCCAGATACAATACGAGCTAATCGATTAATCCATTTAGGCAATACTCCATGACATAAAAGCTGAAAATGAGTTGAAATAAACAAAATGATGATTTTAAGTTTAATGCATTCAATAATGTCGATCGAAACCTATCACTTCAGGGATAAAACTTTTCTAGTTTCCTTTGATTCGTTTGTCCAAGATTAAGTTAGTACGGACAATTTTACAATCTAGCTTTTATGTAACAAAAACTCCAAATTGATTTCAATAAAAATACTCGTGTGATGTTGTCTAATAACCAATTACCAATCAATTCACATCTTACTTATCTCATTCTATTCATATTTTACAGCCCATTCGTTTGAAGTAACATATTATGTCAGATAATAGCGTGTATCATCACATCGACACATTTCAAACATTAAATAAACACACTCAAATCTGGTATTATGTCCATTAAAAAAAAGGCACGGTAAAACAGAATTCTTATCCTGTTTTCAAGTGCATAAACAAGACTCGACTCAACAATTCATCATAAAACGTGTCTATAATCATGAAGATGAATTTATTGGATTAAAACATTATCGTTTCTCAATTATAGAATGAGGCCAATACAAAGAAGTAGTGAATATTGATTACCCAAATTTTTTAACAAACAAAAATGTTGAATATGAATAAACAATGAGAAAGAATGTAAACAATAGACAAATATGTACAACAATAACTACGACTAACATTAAAAACGTTATTCAGAAAGTAACATTTTCTGACAATTATCAACTCAGACCATTTAGTGATGTGATTGTAATATGAAATGGACAACCATCATTCTTTTAATAATAATTACGTTTATGAGTTAATAAAATGTGATCTCGTCTACTTTCACAATAACAAAAACTTGAATAAAGGTTTACATTTTTGAAACACATAATTCGCACCATACCTCATAGCCCTCTGTGTCCAGATCATTGGATAGAGAATAAATATGGTAAACATTCCAGCCTCAATGGAGAACACTGAGATTACTTGAAAACATGCTATTCTATAGTTTACAGGATTATCCTATGAACCTTTGATAAGTATGGAATATTTCGGTGAGTTATAAAGAAAGCATTATTATCAAAACAAGACATTGACATTAAATAATAATCCCGAATAAAATATCGAAATATTCGTTCAATTCTAAAAATGCTTAACAATACAAGAAGAGACATTTTTCGACACTCAAATATAACTGACTGACATCACACTGGCAGAAAACAAGACAATGCCAGTTGTTGCACGATTCATAGTTCTTAGACATACTTCAATAATCGAAACTGAATAGAACAAACCCAAATTCTATCAAATTTAAAATTAAACATTATTTAAAGAGATTTCAGTGAGAATAACGTTTTTTAGCGAATACTGCGTATCTACTAATAAATAACTACATAGTACTGGGACCTAGTAAAGTAGTACTTGATGGCGCCATTTAATACATTTAGAAACAGAAACGTTAAAGGATATGACGGATGAGTGAAATATAGGGATGATACCAGAGAATAGAAGTAAGTATAGAATTAACAATGATAATTGTATTAAAATGTTCAAAATCTGATGTAAGGCACAAACATCAATAATTCATAGTGAAAAGGTCCCACCATCACATACTGCATCTATAATTCCAACGCTAGTAAATATAACGACCGATTCTCTCTGTCTGTCTGAATCTTCCTACAGTAATTAGTATAACGTAGGTAGATGTTAGGATATTCATCCAATATTCTAAGAGAATTAATTTTGTAAGTCTAATTCTACTGGTCAGTAACTATTGGTCATTATTATGGTCGTTCTAACTATCGAAGTCACGTACTTCAATGTTGTTTCCCATTGGTTGTCCTAACTGTCGATGTCACAGACTTTGATGCTGTTTCCTATTCGACCTAACTGTATAAATAAGCATTACCTGTAATGCTTTACGACCGGGACCCAGATCCCTAGTCCGGGATCCTGATTCCCTTCTAGACTTGCACCTCGTACTTTATGGATGCTTGAGCAATACATGTTCTACTTCATATCAAGTCTTCTTCTTCTTCTACTCAATGGATGTTTGGGATACTCGGATTCCAGTAGCCTGTCGTGTCGCCGGATCTTTGATCCTAGCTCTCGTTTACTGACAAAGGTAAACTTGTTATAGATCAAGCATATCAAATGACGTGTTTACGTGAATGCGTAACAGTAGATATTTGTTATTTAAAATATAATATTATCTTACACTACATATTTGTGTGTGAAGGACAATAGTTGAATTTCTCAAAAGTAAATAAAGTATGCAGTGAATTCTAATAAATAAGGACAATAAATCGAAAATGTTATTTTTAATTACTGTTCAAAATAAAAATAACTTACACTTTGGTCACAAGTGAAGTGAGGAGTATGAGCTATGTAAGACATGAAATCTTTTTTTTTAATAAGAAAAACTGAAATACGAATCAGTAAATTGAAATATTATATGACTTACAATATCAAGTTACTTTATTATCATATGAGATACACGTGACGTGTGTTGAATTAAACAAGTGAGTTATTTTCTTAATAACTTAAGTAATCGGAAGGAAAAATAATGAATTAGTGACCTCAGGCTAATAATATTAGTTGAATATCTGATTATTGAGATAAGAAAACAAACAACAACCGTGCACTATTTGATTTGTCAGTGCTAAAAGAAGACTGATGATCGATTAATGATAAATCATGCCTTGACAAAAATTTATTTGATTTGCTTACTTAACAAAGTGTGTTAATTTATTTTTGAAAAACAAAAGTTTTTATTCAGTACTCAATTTTAGTAGATGGATTTTTGTGTGTTGATGGTGAAAACCGAAATTTACTGAGCTTTCAGTAATCGGTAAATAAATTCAGATGAATGTTAGTTTATTTTCATACAGAATCAATACATATTATTGTGTTAAGTGAAAAAAATCAAAGAATGCTTTATGCAATTCCGGTTGGTTACAATTATATACTTGTACGATTGAAAAACGTTAAAGATTTGTTAGCTTAGTATGAAAATTTCAGTGCAGTTGCATTCTATGAGTTGGATCAATCAATAGCCTTACTAAACACTATTAAGACAAACTTCAAAAAGTAAAAATACATTGTAGCATCTTCATTTAACAAAAAATAAAAGCCAAAGATTATCTACTATCTTTAGAAAAATCAGTTATTGAAAAAATTCCATCTAAAATTTTATTCAATACATGATCAAGTACAAAATTAACAGAGCATGGATAAGTCTTATACGGTGTGTGTAGTCTATAAAATTTCCTAAACGTATACTATGAAGAACATAATGACAGAGGGAAAAAAGTCAAAGATATGTTGTAATATTTGTAAGAAGTACAAAGAACATAGTGGTAAGTCTCTCTTTGTAAACATCAGTAATCAGTCAAACAACATGACATGTCATCATTCATAATATCACATGTACATATGAGTTTCATTGGAAGAAAGATGTTGGAGTCTTAAGTAAAAGCTTTTGTAGAAGCCTGACACCAAATACTTACATCGAGCTGACCTAAATCTACTATTCAATGAGAACAGGGAAGGAAAACTGTCGAAACGACATTGACAATGTCGTCATTTGTGAGTAGAACAAGCTATTAAAAACTTAAGGAGAAACTTCTATAATTTATTTGTTTTTGAAATTTGCGATGATGATGATGATAATGTGTCTTGAAAGAAAGAGTTAAATGAATTAACTAATCAGTTAAGAGAATGGAAATACTGACCTTTAGGTTGTAGAATATTCAATTATCCCGATTATGTAAACTGGAAAAACCTTTTTGAAACAGTAGATATGTTTTTATGATACTTAAGCAATAATAACCACCACCACTCATCATGCTGGAGTGGATTTTTTTAAACGATTTTACAACAGAATTCGAGGATAAAACACATTTCTATGAAATAATGATTCTAGACACGACTACGACTACATTAGACCATAAACGCCAAATGTAAAGACTTAAAAATCATTTTAGTCGAGAGGTAACTAATGATCACTGAGTTTTATATCTACATATATCTTTTTCATTGCCAGAAAAATAGATACAAACTGATCAATACTTAATCATTCCAAACAAAACAAAAGTGACAAACAGCTTGATACAAGAATTAATTGATTTTCGTATAATTTAATCAACCTTAGGTCATTTAGTTTAGACTTAGTTACTAACAATAGTCTGGCAAAAAATCGCTTAATTATTCGTGGTCTACAATTCAGGTACATTTGATTAAAAATAAAGTTAAGATTCTGTAAGTGCATCTTATAAGCATAGTCGAGTAAAGAGCTTAACGATCTCATCAAAACTTGAGAAATATAACTCAGATTATAAGTCATCAAGATAAGAACACAGAAACCATTTCACTTTAATTACACCGGTGTATAACCACTGCCTAGATTGAAAGGCAATGTTATCTGATGTAGAAGTAGGTTTTAAGAGAGCGAGGGTTGTTGGCCAAACCAAAACTTGGCATCAGTTCATGAAGTTGCTTACTGTTCGTCCCAGCCAAATCAGTAGATACACTATCTGATTGAGAACTGAACGATAACATCGATTACTTGTTGGAGAAATTGTATGGCGGAATTGGTCACGATGGAGGAGATGTATATACTCTCTATCTTAGTCTGGAACTTAGGCTCCAGCGGTTCTTCACACATATCTTTTCATTATGTGTTTGAAAACCTTTTTCGTTATGTTTAATCTGTCTTGTTATCATTCCAACCACAGTATTTTTGATTCCTTGGTTAATTATATTGTTTATTTTGATCTCATTGTGCTATTGTAGTAACGGAAACTTGGGTCAACGGATATTTGTGTTGGGCTCTTCGTTTCTATGACTGGCTGACGATTAAGCAGTGATTTTTTCAAATACTGCTACTTCCAAATAAATAAATAAATCATAACACAGAAAATGGTTTGTGAATAAAAAAAACCAAGAGTTATACTATATTTAGTATGTGAAATCCATGACTGGTGTTTCATCCTATTTGGGGCTCATCAGTCCTGAATACTTACAACGAGAAATTACAAAC